TGTACATAAAAAACGTTTGATTGTAAAAAGCCAGTTTGGTCACTTTTTGTGAAATTGAGGTGAAAATCTTAAATGTATCATCATTTCAAACATGAGACAACCAGGTGAAATTTTGTGAGATATATTCAGAAAAATGATAAAAAAAGGATCCTATCACAAGCATAAATTACATCCGAAGTCAAAACGACAAGTTCGACTATTTGTATGGAGTGCCATCATTTCAAAATGGCGTTCACGTCGAACCTTCTTTTTTTTTTTTCATTTATGACATAAAAATTGTAGATGTGACCTTTACCTATTCACACCGATTAGCTTTGCTTATCATTTTTCAGCACAACAGTTAAAAAATATATTTTCTAATATGTAATACACCAGTTTCTCAAAAAAGATTTAGTTACTAGTATTTTTCTACCGTTCGAAAAACCTAAATGCTTGCACAACTACCGTGTTTTTCTTTCTGCATCCAAAAGTTTATGTCATTTGAAATATAAGCATAATTTTATAGAAAAATAAATATCTGGTACTTGCAAAGTCGACTGACCGTTTATAACCAAAAGAAAAAAAAATCATTGTCAACCGAGGCCAAGGTGGTCCGAGTACACAGTTATTTCGTAGTGCATTTTTTTAGACAATAAATGAAAATTAAAAAAATCCCACCTGCGCTTTCTCAATAATATTTTTACAGTGTGTTGTACTACTTTTGGGACAAATTATATCAAAATTATAGAAAACTTCATCGGCTCTAACTAAAAATATGGACAATTTCATGCTAAGGGGGTCTTCAAATCTTTTGACAGCTTCCGAAGTGCTAATTTTTAACATTTTTCAGCTGGACCAAATCACTACTTTACTTTAAAATTCATGACCCAAATTTTTTTACAGTGTCATTTCACCCCCCTACTTACTATTTGAGTCATAAAACATGGAGAAATAAATTCGGAAGGGGTATAAAAAAAATCGACAAGTAACACACTGTCCACACTAGGGACTATATTCGTGGACAACGAAAATCAAAGGACGATAACTGTGTACCCGGACCTAATGGGGTAGAAAAAGTTGACCAATCTTAATGAAACTTGGTATGACCAAAGCTTATTAAATTATAAGACTGCTTACAAAGTTTCATGGCAATAGGATATATATTATAGACAATATGACTAATTCTATATTCAACTTTGAGTGTTAAATTTAGACGTTAACATTGAAAATTTTCAACTATCAACATTTGGGGCTTATAAAATTAAAATATTGCAAAAAAATACTTTTGAAATGCCTTAATATATAATATATTATGTATTAAAAGCAATAGAGTACTCATTTGATTTATCAGACTTATCATAATTATTAAAAAGTCAAATTTATATGAGCCTGTGGCTAAAAATGGAGGTTTTCCAATGAAGGGGGGGCCTTACATGAAGATGTAATATTTTCCAGCAATTTTAAATTTTTAACGCTTTTTGGTTATAAATAATCCTTACATATGTATTTAATGTACTTTAAATGGAAAGAAAAGTTACAAATAACATATCACATTAGTTTAAAAGGGTCTTAGGCCAAGTAAGACTAAAAATAATTTAGGGTCAATTTAGGCCGTATCACATATTTACATTTAAAAATGCATATTGAAACTATATGAAATAAAATTTTGTGTCTTTTCTATCATTTCTATACTCAGGTGACATGATACAATAAATCTGAGCACAAAAAGACTCTTGCATTCAACTTTTTTGGCAGACAGTATTGTCTGATACAAAGATTTTTCACTCTTAGGGAAAAACATGCATGCAATTTTAGTCTCAACAGGCTTATATTTGAACCACTTGCTATCCTACAGAAGAAAAGAAAGATATTATGTGACATAAAACAGGTACAAAAGACATTGTTAAGTGCTTTTTATACAAATTTAGTGAGGTCTTTATAATGGACTTCAACTTTTATGTTCATAGATCCTCACATTTAACTTGATCCAAACAGGGCGTTAGACGAGGATCATATATACAACACATTTTGCACATATTGTCTGAGATAATCTTCTTTTCTGTAGATTCAGAGTTCACAAATGAGTAATACAACTGGATTGAAGCATAGAAACACAAATATTGACACATAAAAACCTGTCAGATAGAAAGTCAGAATGCCACTTATGCATCAAAATTGAAAAAGCTATGAAATGCTTATTTTGACCATAAAATGCCAAAATTGGTCATTTTTGCAGAAATTCTATCAAATAAAAGTTTAAATCCTTTAGTTTTATGCTATTTGCTAAATTGACACCATCAAATCATTCAGGGAAGTTGCCAAAGTACAGATTCTATATTTCCTGATTTCACCTCTTAGGTCCGAGTACACAGTTATTTCGTAGTGCATTTCTTTCAGACAATAAATGAAAATTAAAAAAATCCCACCTGCGCTTTCTCAATAATATTTTTACAGTGTGTTGTACTACTTTTTGGACAAATTATATCAAAATTATAGAAAACTTCATCGGCTCTAACTCAAGATATGGACAATTTCATGCTAAGGGGGTCTTCAAATCTTTTGACAGCTTCCGAAGTGCTAATTTTTAACATTTGTCAGCTGGACCAAATCACTACTTTACTTTAAAATTCATGACCCAAATTTTTTTACAGTGTCATTTCACCCCCCTACTTACTATTTGAGTCATAAAACATGGAGAAATAAATTCGGAAGGGGTATAAAAAAAATCGACAAGTAACACACTGTCCACACTAGGGACTATATTCGTGGACAACGAAAATCAAAGGACGATAACTGTGTACCCGGACCAGGTGAGGTGTGAATCGCTCTGTTTTACTTACATGTATTGGTTCATTGTAAAGCAAAATCAGTTTTATGCCACGGACATTCTGTTGGTGTGATTATCATGGGAATAATATGCAGTCTCAACATTTTTTTAAAGAAGTTATTGATTAGAACGCTGATTTTCTAACGTTGCAATTTGACAATCGATCAAAGCCATCATATGTATTGTTTTTGAAGAGCTACATGCATTAGCTATGATATTTATTAAAAAGGGGTAAACAGTAAAAAAAAATGCTTTGAAAAGTTACACTGGATATTAATAAGAAAATCTTAGTTAGAAGTCTATCTATTGGTACAAAATGTAACAATGTGCAGATCTGCATCGTGTAATAGCATTGAAATACGCTTCACATACTTTACATGGACAAAATACAATGCAAGACACATTTCACACCCTTTAATACCTGAAATACGTATTTGCTATAATTTACAGCAATATCTTTTAGGAGATTTTAAAGAAATTTTGCTTTAGCATCTATCAAAGTCATCAAAAATAACTATAGCAGCATTGCCAATATATGATTTCTGATTCTGAATAAACTGTAGAGTCAAGTATCTGAAAAAATATAAAACGTACAGCCAAATTAAAAAAAAACTGTACTGAGGCCATTCCGTCCCTGGTATATATTGATTACCAGCAAATGAATTTGAAAAGCTAGCCAAGGGTTAACGAAGATGGAAGGTTCATTGACTCTATGGTTGTCTGCAGAGGAAATAAAAAGGTTTTCAATATCGGACATACGAACACTAGCAGACAATTAAAACAACTTCTCCTCATTTAAATATATCCTTGAAATTAGGCCCACCTGCAAGTTGGGAAAATTTCTTTAATTTTCCAGTCGCTGCGATGCCATCCCCAATAGTAAGGTAAAAACTACACACTATATGTGACATCCCTGGGTCACGCTGCGCCTGAATTGTGACTTGTTTGATAACTAATTACTTTGCTCTGAAGTTTTTGAGAAAATACGGGTGGAAGTCATTCAAGGGCAAATTGATCGGTAGTTGTCGAGGGAGTGCGACATACGATCAACCCTCCGTATATAAGATCAGGTCGTCATTAACAATTGTAATTAAAGACTTGAAAAAGAAGATTGAAATTCTAATGGAATGTTTTGGGTCCTAAACAGAAGCATGTTTCTCCAAAATTTTCTGTTTAAATTCCACAGTTATAACTCGTAATAATGTGATTTTACTTTTTCATTTTTTTTTCAAAATTGATAAAAAAAATACCTGCGGTTTGTTTTGTTTGATTTTCTTCACATTAGGATTCAGGTCAGCAACCGACGACTCAAATTGAAATAAAGAATAGACAACTTTAAGGTACATGTACGGTTTGTTTCTATAGGTTGCATTTGTGAAAATACAGACAATGCATTTTCCCATACGAACTCCTTTTACGACTAAAACAGTGCTCATTTTACCATGGAGTTTCGTAAGAAATCATATCCTGGAATAGAAAGTTCATATGCACTACTATTTTTTTTTCTTAGGTCAAAACATAGGGCTGAGCGGTATATTCTCAACATGTTTATGCCTTGAACTTCTCAGAGTGTAAATATATAATCAAATTCTGTGCTACAAGTCCCACCACTTTGGATCTTCCACAGAAATTATATTTGGCCGCTATTCATGTGTATTGATACTGGGAACATTCCCATTTTTTTTTATCTCTTTGTGATGAAACATAGAGATCATATCTGGTGACCAGTAGGTAAACAAAACGAAACATCTATGAATAGTATATATCTCCCTAAAAAATGCGTGGTTTGTGAAAGAGCTGTATTCACAAAGCGCAACCTATAGTCATCATTGCGTTACAATGTTGTCATCATATATATTAAATTGCACTAAGATACCAAACAATATTTGAGGGCATACACAAACGCATTTGAACGTCTACAAAAATGTTACAACATCCTTAAAAATGCTTAAGAACCAAAATAATTATCACGCAGTTGCTGCGGGTGGTAGTATCTGTGATTTCAACATAACTCTCTAGTGTATTACATTTGATCATAACATTTGAATTAATTTGACTCTACTCACCATACTGTTTATTTGTGTAATTTCATGGTAAACTTTGGAGCCTCATATTTTGTATGAAAGTATATCAACTGACATTTTTTACTAAATATATTACATGCAATATATGCTAAAAAATCTTTATGTTGTAGACTTTTATGTCAAAGGAAGACCAAGAACTGGCCACAGAAATCTCTCAGCAGAAAGAGGCAACATCAATAGTTGGAGGTTAGAATTTTGGTATAAATAAAAGTATATGTGGGATGGTTTTTTTTAATGAGGCCACTACCTCTCAGCATACAAAAGTATTAAGGTTGCAAAAATTTGGAAATGAGTTTAACAGAATATCAAGTATTGTTCATCAACGACAATATTCCTCAATGACAAAAACATTTCAATTTCACAAAATCTTTCCATCTAGATCTATTTGTTGTCTTGAGAAAAATATGTTTCAAATTTTCTCTTTCGGTAATGTAAAAGAGTAGGAGAATTAATTTTTTCAATGGTTTATAATCTTGTAAAGTAAAGGTCCTAAAACTATAACAATCCACTACTGATATCTAATCCAGCTGCGCTTGCATGCATATGTACTAGTAATATGTATACTTCTCAAAGATGATAATACTATTTCATGGCTTGTGTTTACTTTCTGATTTCCAGTATACAAAATGTGGCACATGTGAATCACATGGAAACCAGGTGTACAATTTAAACTATATCATTTATATGTCGAAACATTAACCAGATGTAAAGTTGGGTGTAGACTCTAATGAGTACACCTTGTCAGCAGAAACTAGACATTATTTTTAACTGAATATACTTTCAAACTGTTTTCCAACGGAAATCCGGTGAATTAATTTGGGCTGGGCTGCGCATAAGCGGGCGAAAAGCTCCAATAGTTTCCGTGCATTCACTTGACACAAAGTAGTCAACCATTGTTTTTTCAAATTTTGAAATATTGTTACATATAGTGATGACAAAAATGAGGTCAAATTCCTTTTTTTCGATTGTAAAATTTGCAGTTCATGAGTTATGTTCCTTGAAAAAGGAAAAGGAGCTGTCGTTTCTGAATAACAACTGATGAACCCTTCAACAAATGTTTTTGAGATTCGTTGGTTATATATAATCTTTGCGACATTGTAATTGTTCATTTTGCATGGTTCATAAGAAATTGACCCCACTTAAAGAGTTCATTGTCATCGATAGATTTGTTATTTGATCTGCTTCTCAGATTTTATAAGCAATAGGTCAACTATATTTGGTTTATAAATTGTTGCAAGGTGTAGATGTTTGTATGTTTTCATTTTCGGAGTTCATTAATTTTTTTTAAGACCTATTTCATCAGTAAATATCAACTATGTTTAGTGTTGTGTATGCTTTTTCGGTCCTTCATGTCTGTCAAGCAGCCGGTAATTCTGACATTGACCTTATTTTGATGGATCATTCATTATGTAAAGTGTATGTGAAATATGTAGTGACACCTTAATTTAAAAAAAAACGTTCCACATAAAATTCAGTTCGTCTAAGTAATACAGTCAAGTTATCTCAGCGTGTGCATTTTTGTTTAACTCAAACTGTTTTCACACATGAAAACACGTAGAAACCATACAAGGCAATATGAGAGCTTCATCATTTCGGGTTTTCCTAATTAATGAAACTTCAAGAATTACTAAATGTTACTGGGATTGTTCCGTCTACTTTCTCTTTAGATAATTGTATCGATGAAACATTTGATCTCGTCCTTTTAGAACCTCTCCTCGTGACAATGTTTACTCAAAGAGAATATCAAATCAACGAAAATGTTTATGAAATAAAAAAATATATATTATAATGATGATGTTCTTTAAATCTAGTAAAATGAAAAATAATCAGCATAATCGTATTGCAAATGTGTAGTTGCATTTTTTTTTTTTAATAAAGATTTCCTCCAGAAAAAAGAACAATCTGCCATGTTAAATCGATTGCTAGGCCAGGGGACGTATGATTCATTTGACATGCGCTGTATGGTCACAGGTCAGTTTGGAGTCGGAAAATCTACGCTTGTAAAGCTCTTAGTTGGTGATGCTATTCCAGATGAAAGATTTGCTACAGATGGGATCTCCCTACTAGAGGGTCGATGTGGCCTTGACATAGACACCAGAGAGTGGATACTTATTGATCCAGGTAAGAATCCATTCTAAAACACTATATCAATATAAAATCTATTCTTGTATTTGACGTCTTCATCATACAAATGACATTTCCCTAAAAGAAGTCCCTGTGTCCTAGACATAGACACAAGAGATTGGTTCCCTATTGATCCAAAGAATACATTCAAAAGCACTACATACAAATTTATCTTACCTCCTATACATTTTTAGGAATATGATTGGTTAAAAGCAACCGCGTGGAGACCGTATATATTCCATATTGGGTTAGTAGGCGGGCTTATTTCAATACACGGTTAGTAGTGGTGTTACGTCCATTTATAAAAACAACACGGTGTTGAGGGAAAAAACAGACGAAGAAATTGATGATAAACGATTGAAATAAATTCATAAAACACATTTAAAGCTAACACGTTTTTATTGTTGGCATTTGTTTGTGTATAGACCAATGGAAGTAGGTTCTTAATACTAACGGTATCAATGACTTGATCACTTTGATAAGCCACTAGTCTAAATACCACAGTCATGTTCAGATAGTGGCTAAGATAAATTCGTTACATAATGTGCTAGTGACCTAATACTATATATATAGAGGGTCATTAAATTCCATATGGAATTTACTGACCCCATATATATCGTATTAGGCCACTAGCAAACTATGTAACTAATAATACTCAATTAACTGTTGGATGTCCACGTGTTAGTAATATTTTGTATGTGGCTTGGAACAAAACATCAGTTGTTTTTAGATTCTTCTAAAAATAAAACAAATAGCGATGGTGAAAAAAAAAGGTTAGTCCTTCTCAATTTTCAACTATTGATGTTTTCAGTAATGACTTTTTAGTTCAATCAAAACAGGTGGGTTTGTTTAAATTCAGGAAAAAAAGGGGGTTTTCTTTTGTTATATCATACGTATTGTTGTATTGTAATTTAACTTTGTATTACTGTGACATACCTTTTATTCATCATAATCTTATCAATGAAACAATCTTAGTATGCTAAACACTAGTTTTAGTATGCAAAACACCAGACTAAATCTGTTAATCATCAACCTCAAGATATTAAACACCAGTCCCAGTATGTTGAACACCAGTCCCAGTATGTCAAAACCAGCCTTGTTTGTTTAACAATAGCCTCAGTTTGGAAAACATCTGTAGCTGTATGTTATACACAAGCTTTTATTGGTTAAAACAAGCTTCATTGTAGGACTACACTAGAGCATGGGCTAAACGAGAAGAAGTTGAACTGACACTTTGTCAGAATGGGCAAAAACAATCAGGTCTCTAATAAAACGTCGCATTCATAATTTGAAAAACTGTGTGAATGTTCTACCAAAGTCCGTTTTCAAAGACAAAGAGGCTATGAAATTTCTATCATCTCTTCACGTTAAGTATGTTGTTGTTCCTGCGGACAAAGCTTCAAATAATATTGTCTTTGTATGTAGATCGTTCTACTACGAGTGTTTTGTAAAAGAATAAGAATAAATGAGCACTCAGGTTATCCCACATACAAACACATATCATTTTACAAGGATGAGAATTTGGCGAATCATAAGTCCTTCATGGCTTCAATGAACATTACATTGAAAAGCAAATCGGAGGACTTACCTTGTTTGCTTTGGATACCTAAGCTTCACAAAATTCCGTACAAAAAAAAGAGGGTCTTCAGAAATACCGTGAAACTGTTTTTCTCGCGTAGTGGTATTAATCATATGTGGCTTCTAAACAAACTCTAAAGAAGTGGGTAATTTTAAATCTCGATCTTTCTCTTAAATTAGTTCTATCAAAACCTTTGATTTTTCAACCCTGTATACCACCATTCCCCATGTGAAATTGAAAAATCGTCTAAAAGTAATAATCCACAATGATTTTCAACATAAAAATGAGAGCATACGCTATAGATATATTACTTTGGGATGTCATTCGGCATATTTTGTTAATAGTGAACAAAAAAGTAAAACATGCTACACAGAGGAACAAGTGATCAGTATGCTGGAGTTTCTTATTGACAACATTTTTGTTGAATTTGGAGGTAGACTTTTTCAACAAATTGTCGGCATTCCTATGGGAACGAACTGTGCGTCTCTCCTTGCCGACTTCTTCTTATTTTAATATGAGTCGGAGTTCCTTCAGACACTTGTCAAAAACAAGAAGATCAAAGAAGCCAGATCATTTAATTTCACATTCAGATGTATTTATGACGTTCTTTCCATTAACAATCCACATTTTCTGATTGGGTTCCATTAGTATATCCTTCAGAACTAGAAGTTAAAGAAAAAACATACACGGCTTCCTCTGCCTCATTTTTAGACTTATACCTCGAATTTGACCTTATCGGTCATCACAGAACCAGAATCTATGACAAACGAGACGATTTTAATTTTGAAATTATCAATTTCCCCCACCTTAGTAGCAATATACCTACTTCACCTGCATATGGGATATTCATTTTCCAACTCATTCGGTATTCAAGAGCCTGCAGTTGCTAATCAGACTTTGTAAAACGTCACCAGTGTCTGAGCAGAAAGTTGATGAATCAGGGATATGTAAAAGAACGTCTCGTCCTTTTTTCTAAAAAAGTTCATCGGAAGATACCAAGACCTTGTTGATAAATATTCCGTATCAATTTAACAAATACTACATGAAGGTCTTGAAGTAAAGATTATAGGTACTGACTTGTTTATCATCTAAGAAACGTGTTAAAGTATTCATTTATTTGTCTTTGTAAATTATTACTTTTACTGTTTAGTCTATTTTTGGTAAAATCCATTTGCCGTGGCTCGGTACTTTTACATCCCGTCATTGTGTTATTGTGCTATGGTTAATTTTTGTATTCTTTCTTGTCTTTCGTTTTTGCTAATGTGCTTTGTCTATATGCCTTTTTGTTTTTCTTTGTTGACATATTTTTTTTTTTATAGTGATTAAGATTATATTACAATTTTTACTGTTGTATCCCTATTTTTGACATTTTTACCTATTGTGTCTGTATGTTTTGTTCACACATCGTTGTCAATATAATGGAATTTTTATGCGACTGTCATACAAGTGAGAGGTTTAGCTAGCTATAAAACCAGGTTAAATCCACCATTTTCTACATAAGAAAATTCCTGTACCAAGTCAGGAATATGACAGTTGTTATCCATTCGTTTGATGTGTGTGATGTGTTTGAGCTTTTGATTTTGCCATTTGCTTAGGGACTTTCCGTTTAGAATTTTCCTCGGAGTTCGGTTTTTTTATTATTTTACTTTTTAGAAATACTAAAACTTTCCTTGGCATGTTAAACACCAGACTCTGTAGTTTAAACACCATGGAATTCTCAAAATTCTAAATACCTTTCTAAGCATGTACAACACAAGGTTCAGTATGAAACATTGCTGCTTCAGTTTGTGACACCTACCTCAGTATGTAATACACTAGGTGAACAGAAGTATTAGCATGTATATTACCAGGCTGTGTATTTAGACACCAATCTCAAATTGGTTGAGAAATTGAAAGGATAACTCAAGTATAATATCAAAAGCATGCCGAAACGACCGAGCCTCGGCTTTTTTTTTAAACACTGGCTTCAGCATGTTGAAAACCAGTCTTATGATTCATTACAAAAAAACCTCTGTATTTTAAACACCAGTCCGAATATGTTAAACACCTTCGTCGGTATAGTAAACACCAGTCTCGGTGTGTTATACACTTTAGCTTTAGGATATTAAACACCACTTACAGCATGTTCATCGCCAGCGTCAGATAAGGTAAAATAACCAAAATACCGAACTCCCAAGGAAAATTCAATACGGAAAGTCCTTTTATCAAATGGCAAAATCAAAAGCTCAAACACACCAAACGAAAAAAAACAACTGTTATATACCTGACTTGGAAACTGATAAGTTAATGCCCATCCTCAATATGTTAAACAACATCCTTAGCATGTAAGACACCAGGACTAATAAATACCAGCCTCAACATGTTAAATAACAGCCTCACTATGATAAAGACTTGTCTGAGTATGTTAAATACAAGCTTATGTATGTTAAACACTAGCCTCAATATGTTAAACACCTGCTTCGTAATGTTTAATAACGGCCGGTGTGTGAAACACTTGAGGTTTCGTTTTCTTCCATCAAACTGGTTAGAAATATGAATGGTATACTTAAGTATAGCATACAGATTGCATTTAACATAACCATGATAACTGAAAGGCTTACAAGATCATACATATTAGCCTATGCATATTTAACGTCAGCTTCAGGAATTTAACATTAGCGTAAGCACTCTCTGCAAGTTACACGCAATTCCCTGCATGTCAAACAACAGTCTCGTTTTCGTAGGAAAATTGATAGTTATATTTAAGTGCAATACCCATATTGCATTAAACACAATTGTAAAGCTAACAAACTCATAATGAAATACCTAAACCTCAACATGTGGGACACCGAAATTAGTAAGCCATAACCTCACCTAAGTATGTTAAACACCAGCCGCAGTATTTTAATCACTAGCTTTAGTTTGTTGAGCACTAGCCGCAATATATAAAACCCCAGCCTTATATGCTAAACACTTTTTTTAGTATGTTAAACACCAGCCTCATATTTTTTGACAGCCTCATTAGGATAACAACTAACGGAACATTAGCCTATGCACGTTTAACACTGGGATCAAAATGTTCAGCAAACTGAAGTCTCAGTATGTTAATCACCAGTCTGAGTATGTTGAACGCCAGACTGCATATTTCCAATACTAACTTCACATGTTAGTATACCAATCTCGGCATGTTAAAAACAAAGCCTCTGCATGTCAAAGACCATTGGCAAATGATAGGCAAACTTATGTATAATAAACAGTCTGCAGCTTAAACCCAACTTTAAGACTTACGAAGTCATAATTACACTGGTTACACTAGTTACACACTCAATAGTAAATAGAATCAGCATGTTATAAACTGGCTTCGTTATGTTTAACACCGGCTTCAGTATATAGAACACTAGTCTCATTATGTTAAACACCAGCTTTAGTATGTTAAATACCAGAATCAGTATGTTGAATAATAGAAACAGTATGTTTAACACTAGCCTCGGTGTGTTAAATATCAGTTTCAGTATGTTAAACTCTAACTTCAGTGTGTTAATCGCTAGCCCAAAAATAATTGCATGTTCAACACCAGCTTCTTTATATTGAACATAAGCCTCAGTATGGTTTAACACTTAAGCATAAGTAGTTAAGTACGTATCATGGTATAAGCATATGACATTGAAAAATTATTTTCTAAAAAATGATAACCCTATAGTGAACCAATCAATCAGCAGCAATTCAACCTAACAACTAGACATCTACAAAATGTATTGCGTTTTTCTCTTCATTACCTCTGTTAGTATCGTTGTCGTTAGGCAATTGTCGCCAACAACTCTTTTGATTCATTCCAAGAAAAAGGGTATGCTACATTCTGTAAAGTCATACATTAGATTTAACGTGGTAAAAAACGTGTTGTAAAATTCATAAGGCCAACAGGCAAAGTTTGTTTCGAGATAAAAGTACATGACTAAAATTAAATCTAGAATATTTGGTAGATTGTTTGTGTTGAACGTGAGAATACAGGGAAAAAATTATACACTGTAATAAATTCAACAACACAAGTTTTGTAATTGACCATGTCATAGATTAGAATTTAAAATCACACATTACATTTTTAAAAAAGCCATCTCAGTCTGTAAAACAAATAGTAACTAATTTCATTTCCAAAATTTATTAGAAATGAAAAAAGGACACCGTATTTTTGGTATAATTTGATTAAAATTTTCAATTAAATGATGTGTATATCAGCAGTATCTTGGTGAGTTCGAAAATCAGTGCTGATCAATTATTTTGAACGAATTGATGGCCCTTGGAAATGCAAAGTCTATGAATAATTGCATGAATTTGATATCGGAAGGGATTTTATCGGCAATATATTGGCCATGTTCTAAAATCAGCGCTGAACATCTGTGTTAAAGGGAATAAGGTCCTTTGAGATACAAATATAGGGGCAATTGCATTGTTCATGTTGTAAGTCCTTTTTTGACCACATTTGTTTTTGGATGTGTTGTAACAAGTTAAAAATAAATATTGGAGTTATTACCTCTGGACTAATATTATTTTTTCCCGCGGCAATGGATTTCAATTTGTAGTTTTTAATTTTGTTTTATCTTATAAAGAGTGAGACTCGTGCAAATAACTCAGCTAACGACATTTCCCCAGTTCATGTCATTGAAAGCAGCATTTTGATTTTAGATCTTAACAGAATTTTTAAGTGACATCCATAAACAAAGGTCAAATGACAGCCTGTTTCTAATTGAATTGTTACTGATATTTGATAATGCCTTATTGCAAGGTAGAGGGGTAATTTTTATAAATCATTACAGGTCATACACCGCTAGATGTGTAAAAGAAAACTTTTATTACATTACTATATTTTATCTTATAACAGAAACTTACAATGCCCTGGATGTTGTGTACAATAAGGTGTTAATGACCTCTGTAGCTGAAGATGAAAAACAAGAAGCCAGCCGCACTGCTAGTAAAAATGTAGGCGATGTATTACAGCAGTCAAAATGTACCAAGACAACGGCTTCCCATGAAAATATCCCAGTTAATCCTTCTCAACAGGCTCTTGCAGAACAACCGTTGTCACCTCAGCAGTCTTCCAGTACGCTTCTTTTTAAAGAGCAGTCACACAAGAAAATGAAAACAAAAATGAATAAGGATGAAATAAGAAAGAGAATGGAGGAAATCCTTAAGAGTGGAAAATATAAGATAAAAGTTGGACGACTTATCTTCTGGGATTTTGGCGGACAGTATGTCTATTACACAACACATCAGACCTTTATGACATTCAGAGCTTTGTTTCTTCTAGTGTTTGATGGAAGCAAAGGATTGCATGATCAGGTCCCAGATGTGTTATGTTTTCCAGGGCAACACATGATACCCACCCCAGCAGGTATTTACTTTTTAATTGGACAAATAAGTTTTAAAACCTTTTGACATTAAAATCGGAAGCTCAAAAATACTAAAACAGTAGAAACATAAGTGATCGTGTTTGTTTCAGTAGGAGGATGTTTTGAAGTACATTGGTTGGATTTTTTATACTTATACAGCAGGTTGAAAGTATAAAAAACAGGTGACAAATTAGCAAAAATCATGATAATCGTATATGGGTTTTTAGTCAATCTGAGTATAATGTAACTATTTTAAACTCATATATGACACCTGATGTCACTTTTTAACTTCATACTTTATTTAACATTTTTGACTTTGCAGACGAAACGCTCGTCTGGCGTACACGATGCTTATCTTGGTATCTATGATAGGTTTATTTACATGATTTTAAACCATCTGAAATACAAGCTTAAAACATACCATACATGTATATGCAGGGCGTTTATTTTTGTTGTTTTCTCTGAATATAAGTGTGTTATTCCAACTTAGTTTTCATAACTCATTGATCAGAATAAGTTTCAGGTCAGTTTTGAAATTGGTATAAATAATAGGTGAACTACATTTGGTTTTTAATTTTTTTTTACAGCGTACGTGTCTGTCTAACCGGGTTAACTTATCTGACATCAATCATATTTCCAGGTTATTTCGTTCATATGAAGTTTGGATGATACGTCTGTTGTTGGCAGATTTTTTTTTACCGTAACAAGATAAAAAAGAATGATGAACAAGTTCAAATGCATTTTTTTTTCAAAGCCTTTTGTAACTTATTTAACTGTAGCTTGATTTGTTTACAGTATTTCTACAACACTGGGTCTATTCCATCTTGACGTATTGTAAGCCAGTATATAAAGCTATTCCAAAGATCTTGTTTGTGGCAACACATAAAGACAAGATTGAAGAGGTAATCACTAAGCTAGTTTTAACTCATGTATCACCCATGATGTCACACTTAAATGAGTAAGTTACCTTTTGCTATCTGTGATACAACCGATTACGAAACAGTACCATTGGCTATTGACCTGTTGGTAGTTGGTACTTGACCCTTTATGAAACTGTACCATGAGTAATTGACATCTTATCCGTTTGTGTTTGACCCCTGGTGACACTGCACCGTGAGTAATTGATATATTATTAGTTTTGATATGAAACCTGCTGACACTGTAACATAGCTTAATGATAAATAAGTGTTACAATGGTCTAAGTAAGTGATAGTAATAGTATAAGTAAGTTTCATCATGGTATTATTGAATGGTACCATGGTCTCAGTAAGTTTTAGTATTACAATAACCTAAGTAAATAAAGCATTGGTCTAAGTATTGTAATTATGAGTAAGTAATAAATACCATGGTCAGATTACTGTAACAATGGAATAAGTAAGGGTAAACATGACCTAAGCAAATTGTACCATTTTCTAAGTAGCATTTATCACGGTGTAAGTAAGTGTTCCCATTGTCTAAATAAGTGAAACTATTGTCCAAGTAGTAGTGTAACCATGGTATTCATCACGTTTTACCATTGTCTTAGTACGAGTAATCAACGTCTAAGTAATTTAATCATGGACTTAGTATTGAATCATAAATTTTGAAGCAATAGACTAAGTAGATATAAGAAGATGTGGTATGAGTGCCAATGAGACAACTCTCCATCCAAGTCAAAATTTATAAAAGTAAACAATTATAGGTCAAAGTACGGTCTTCAACATGGAGCCTTAGCTAACACCGAACAGCAAGCTATAACATGTATAAAGGGCCCCAAAAATTACTAGTGTAAAACCATTAAAACGGGAAAACCAACGGTCTAATCTATATAAAAAACGAGAAACACTTATGAACCACATCAACAAACGACAACTAATGAACATCAGGTTCCTGACTTAGGACAAGTAAAAACAAATGCAGCGGGTTTAAACGTTTTAATGGTACCAAACCTTCGCCCTTTTTCTGAAACAATAGTGTAACATCACAACATAGAAAGACACACTATCAAATATCAACTGAAATAGCTTAACTCAATCAAAGGACATATTAAGTGCCTATTTAAAGTCTACGTACTAGTATTGTCACCATGGTCTTATTATATGTAACCGTGGTCTGTTGTCTAATTATATATAGTAACCATGGTCTATGTGTTATATTCAGTGTATAAGTATTTTGAAATGAACTTAGTAGTGTTACCATTCACTTAGTATTGGTACCATTGTTTAAGTATTGTAACCACGGTCTAAGTAAGTAATGCCATTTTCTAAGTACTGTTAATTCAGAATTGCGTGCATTTATTATTGCAATTTTTTAAGAATGGACTAAAATACAAGATTGATTATTGCGATTTCAGAATATTCTGCTTTAAGATAACTGCATCAGATATCAGCATGCTTGTTTTTATTAATACAATATCCACCTAGTCGCATTATTGTTTTTTTAATTAACAATAAGTGTTACAATGGTCTAAGTAAGTGTTACCGGGGTCTAATAATTGTCACCACGGTCTAAAATAAACATTGTTGACATGAGCAAACACCATGGAGTAATGCATTGAGTAACATGGTGAGACATGCTTACACTATGATAAACCATTGCTACTATTCGCTTTACACCAAGGTTGGTATGAAGAGTGCACGAGTTGTCATTTATGGATCTAAATGTTAAACAGTTTATGTAATGCACATCAAAGTCGGTAGATCCTATTACTTTTTAGCACATGTCTTTGTAATTTCACTTGAATATAATTAAACTAAACCACTAAGTAGTTGTGCCCACAAAATTCATTTAGATATACCTTTATCTGAAGTCATTTATAATAAATGATAATACATCTTTGGAAATTTAACATAAATGGCAACATACTTCATTTTATTTGGGCATAAACATAAAGCTAAACATCTTTATTAGTCCATTTGTCCCAAACAGTTTCCTTGTCTCGTCAGTTTCAGTGACAGATTTTACATTTACTTCACTAGAATTTGCGTCCATAAACAGGCGTGATGTACAAGAAATTTTGGGATAAGCATCTAAATTAGAAATTAATACACATGTAGTTATTATAACACCTCTTTTGTAATAGGAGAATGTTGAGACTCGACGTAAAGAGTTGTACAATGCAGTAGAAGAATTGTTCAAAGACCACGAGGAAAAACAACATCTTGTCTTCAGCCCACAGATATTTGTTAATGCCAAAAACAAAGATGATCCAGATATAAAAATTCTCAAAAGAGTCATTACAGATCTTACATTTGAACATCCATGCTGGGGGGAGAAAATGCCAAACGCTTTTGTCCCCCTTGAACTTGAGATAGCTGAGCTAGTAGCTGGCGGAAAACAAATTTTGTCATTGCTGGAAGTGGAAGAATTGAATGCCATTAGTCAAGTGTCTGTCCTGTCTCCAGAGCAACTCAACGCTTTTCTCAATTTCCAACATTCACTCGGGAAAATTGTCTACTTTCATACTCCGCAGCTGAAAGATTTTGTGATTATCAGCCCACTACTCTTGGTTGAAGTCATGAGGTCTTTTGTGTCAGGTATGTATCTATACTATGTCTACTTTGATACTCCACAATTAAGATATATTATATTACCTTCAGCCACACTTCTTTGGTAGAAGTCATGCGATCTTAGATAGCCGGTATACTTTGTCTTCTTTGATAACCCGCAATAAGATGTTATGTAATTATCACATGTATCTGTCTACTTTTCTTGGAAGAGTTTTTTAACGATATTTATGATGTCGGTGATACTCCTCAGCTAAGATATTTTATGACCATCAGCCCACTACATGCACTACTCTGAATAAACTTAATGATTTTTTTTTGTGACACGTATTTATACCATGTCTACTTTAATATTCCCTCAGGTGAGATATTATGTAATCATCGGTCCACATATCATGATAGAGGTTAATCGGTTTTTGTAACAGGTACATGTATCTATGCCATGTCTTTTTTCATACCCCTCAGGTAAAATATAATGTAATCATCAGTCTACTTTTCTTGGTAGAAGTTATGAGGTCTTTCTTTCTTTACAGGGATTTTTTATTACATCTTCTTTGATACCTCTTAGTCAGTAGCATATGTGAGTTTAACCTAGGACTAATACATTTATCAATAAGTGTTAGGTTCAACTTGAAATATTTTCTAGGCAGTTTTTTGTTTATTACTATTTGTTATGGGGTACTATTAATAGTTTCTGCATGATACTGTTCTTTTCGTATGAGCCAGGATTTTATGATTTTTATAACTTGAAATGTAAGATTTGGTAGAACATATTGAAATAAAGACAAATAAAAAAATGCGAGAGAAAACTCTACGACAGAAAATAATAATGAAGCGTCATATGTAATTTCGGGTATTGTATGCTTCCCTTTTAAACTCAACATTACGTCCTGGTTTGGATAATTGTATTAATCAAATAAATTTTAGCATCAAAGTAAAATTTTCTTATACATTTAACAAGTTTAAGTAACTTTTTTGTCAGTTTTTTCTTTCTCGTGTCATAGAATTAAAAACAATTATTATACAAAGGAATATGTTATTTAGTTATGTTAGTAATACTCTAAACTTTAATAATAAGTTGAATTTTTCGAAATAAACATCTGTTCACCTTTTTGTAAGAGACAATTAAGGTCTTATGCAGACTTACTTTACATAATGTACAACTGACCAGCAAATTTTCGGCGTAAAATTTTTATGTTGATATATACATATTTGGCGTTTTTCATCCGTTCATCTGGACATTCATTTTTAAAGACCAGACTATAAGGACACAGTAGGTAAATCCTTTTCAACTAATAGTTTGAAACAGCTTGTTTGATAACTTTCCATCAACCAGAAAGCATATATATTTATTTTAGTCATCCGTTCATTTTACAAAGCTAAAGTCAGCACACATTAACTTAAAAAAAATAATCTTACCCTTCTTAGTTTTATGATAGAACGGCATAATCATAGATCTAATAAGACAAAAGATCAGAACCACAGTAAGTGAATATTTAAATAATTGATAGTAGTGTTCGGCCATGAAGTGTTTTACCAAGACATAGTAAAAAAGATATAAACGGTCATTATCGTATTGTAATTTTGAGGGAAATATTTCAGTACATTGAGTGTTCTGTGCATTATACATGATTTTATCTTCCTGTTGTAAAGTCGGCCATCACTTACATGTATCATAGAAAAGTGCAGTGTCTGATGGTATCATTAAATTAGACACTTTAAGCATGTTAAACTCTCTTCAGTAGCTTCGACAATTCCATGAAATGGTATTGCATATTATTTTTATTGTACTTTTGCTTTTATATATTAGTCTAGTAAAACTTTACTCGTATTTTTGCTCTGATTTTTGGCATCTTCTTTTATTTACCATTTGTAATTCAAATGCTCAATGTTTAAAAGAAGAGGGTGAAATTTTCCACACGCAAAATGTCTTTTTGCCTGTCCGTATTCATGGATGATTAACATGGTTAATAATGTTATAATAAATTAGTTCCTTACTTTTTTTAGACATGGGGCGGTTTCGAGCTTGACCACCTGTATAGGCATATTTCTATTATAAAAGATCGGATTCCTTGATGTCTCGTTGTTTGCTATGTCATGAACGTATATCTCATATTTCCGTACCTCCAGTGTAACGAGAGTGTCACGATTTCTGCACATGAGACCGTATTTGATAGGGGATCCGTAGGTTGCTTGTTGCAAGACATAATGTTTTCCCTTGCCAATATACCATTGTTTTCCATTGGCAGTCGTGTACACTTTCCACTCTTTATTTATATCGTCCCATCGTGCAGAACCTATCTGTTATTATTAGACTAATTGTTATTAGTTTCTGGTACTGAATATGCATACAAAAATTTCCGATTAGACGTTAAACAAAAAACAATCATTCAAGCTAGTCGGACCAAACTTGTTTATTTGTTTTGGTCCCTAGTAACCATGCAGCTTTTGCAACTGGACGTTTATCATGTATTCATAGCTCAGATTGATCTTACTGTAACATAGAGGTTTGAAGTATGTAGTGTTTGTGTAAATGAGGATCTTTTCCCACAATTTTAAGCAATCTCTATTCGTTCTGCTAGCACTTTGCTGTTTCGCTGTACATTTAATCTTTATTTTTTTCATGAAACTTGGGTATGATCAGTACTTTTTTAAATGATCTGTTTTATGTGGGATACAGGAGGACAAACTGATACAGATGAATTGGTTATACTTACCGTTTTACAAAATGTTTTAGGCAATATTAAAATAAAAAAGACTGGAGTCGGTTTCACAAAAAAACTAACGACTAAGCTTGATCGTAAGTAACATGAGTAATGAACAATTCAGTATACTTACAATCAGTCTTAGTGGAACGTTTTTTTGTGAAACCGACTCCTAATTGGTATTTCTATAAGCTAAGCTCAGTTGAAACAATTCCAACCTCTAGAATTCTGACTTTCCGAATTGTCTCGCATAGTTCATTAAGTATCATTTTGTAGTACTTGGTTGATACTTATCGTTGGGCTGTTATTCTCCATCAGCTCAGAAGTCAACGTTTTGGCTCTGACAAGATTTAAAACAAATCTTTCTTTAATCCTTGGTTAAAAAACGTGATAATAAGATTCCAACTACATCAGAACAATTTGACTATTCTTTGAGGTCCCTTATATTCATAAAGCTCCTACAAAATTGAAATACACATACTCCTATATAATGAAAAATTGGCAAAATGCTGCAAAAAAGCTCTAAAATAAAATAAGCAATTGTTTATTTGATTGATTCTAATAAGTATTAAGGTAGTGGAAATATTTCAAGATTGTTTTTAAGTTTGAGTAACGATTTGTAGTCTGAATATAAATACATTGGAAATACATTTTAAAATTTCCAGATTTGACAAGGTTTTACCTTCTTTTGCTTCTAATGACCAATGTGATTTTGCTGATACAGTTTAGTTGATCTCAATTGAAATAGGAGTGTTTGAGCTTTCATACAAACACCAGACATTGGTAGTTTTAATACGATAAATACTACAAACATTGAAAAATAATACCCCTATCTCCAAACATTTTAAGTATATACTGTGAATATTCGCAAATATACAACTTAAATGCGTCAACCGATGAATGATCTAGCAAAAATTGGTAGTAACTATAATAGTTGGAAACCATGTTGCCACATTAATGGACGATTTTCAAAAAGATGTCCACTTTATCTTGGGCTTGAATTGTGATAAAATCATATATATTCATATTTGTTTTAGTCTCCGTCTATAAATTGTAGTTATTAAAGACATCGACAATACTTTTTGTCTGCTTTGTGGTAATTATATATGAACTCTTTGAAAATATCAGACCAAAGGGCTCAAAAACGGCAAAAACGCTCCGGCCACATTTGAAAGTTATTCAAATGTTCAAAAATTTCATACGATTTACCAATCTTTTTTGTACTTTTTCAATGTTTTGTCAAAGAGCTGCATATGAACATTACAAAAAGTATTCAAATATTTAGATAACTTCAAATATTTTTGTGTTAGTAATTTTTTAAGTGGCGTCCATGAAAAAATGTCCACTTCGCAAAGACAGCAAACTACTGGCAAAATTATAATCATTCTCTTGTTCAAATTGTAGTATTTTCTGTTACTTGTCACTAATGTAACTTCATTTAGTAAAATTGCAGTCACCTATGGATGCTGATGATATAGTTCGTCTGTATCGAATCAATTTATAGTTCTTTGGATAGCGTACTTTTTACTTGTTCACTTTGCAACGTTTTTTTTAAAGAAATATTGACCTCAAATCATAAAAGAAACGTGGAGTTTATGAAATGAAATGTATTATCTAAGACAAAAATCATGAAAACATGTATCTGAGAAACCGCGTGTAACAACAATGGCTGTTAACATGTAAATACATTGACTTTGCAACGGTCCACTAAGCAACATTCCATTACGAAGTGGACACAAACCGTTGCGTAGTGGACAAAGATCGTTTCATAAGGGACATATATTGTTACCGTATAAAATCATTTATTTTTGTCAGATTCTCGAAGTAAAAAACCTTTAAATTCGATTTTTTTTAGCATGGTGGAGCAATAAAAATCGTTGCGAAAGGGAAATATTGGTACAACATGATCACTTTTACAGAGATATTGTCAAACATACCGTTCAGTTTAAGTTGTATATTTTTAATTTAATTTATAGTGATGTATAGTATTGACTTGTACAATTAAATCACTTCTCAAAACGTGTTTTTCATTTTCCAGTTGTCAAAAAGGAAATTTATTTTAAAAAGGCCCTGAAGACATTTGTTTTTGGGGAAATAGACAATCTTGAATTTTCATACTTTTTCTCGAATTCAGCCATATTGATCACTTTAAAAATAAAAATACATTGTACGTGTGTAATATCCAAAACTGTAGGCTTTCCCATGAGGAAAAAAAGAACATATATTATATATAATAAAAAAAAAACCAGCGATCTATCACAAACAAAATAAAAACAACACGTTATATATTTCAGGAACGTTAAAAGCCTACTTTTGAAATGCAAG